CACCCACATCCCAGGCCCCAAGAAGACTTTCCACATCAAGCAGATGTTCACCTGCACATCTGCTAATGTGGTATACTGCATCCGCTGTACCCGTTGTGGCCTCCTCTACATCGGGGAAACCAAGCGGAGACTCGGGGACCGCTTTGCAGAACACCTACGTTCGGTTCGCAATAAACAACTGCACCTCCCAGTCGTGAACCATTTCAACTCCCCCTCCCATTCCTCAGACGACATGTCCATCCTGGGCCTCCTGCAGTGCCACAACGATGCCACCTGAAGGTTGCAGGAACAGCAACTCATATTCTGCTTGGGAACCCTGCAGCCCAATGGTATCAATGTGGATTTCACAAGCTCCAAAATCTCCCCTCCCCCTACCGCATCCCAAAACCAGCCCAGCTCGTTTCCGCCTCCCTAACCTGTTCTTCCTCCCACCTATCCCCTCCTCCCACCTCAAGCCGCACCCCCATCTCCTACCTACTAACCTCATCCCGCACCCTTGACCTGTCCGTCCTCCCTACCTCCCCACCTAACTCACCTTTACTGGCTCCATCCCCACCTCTTCGACCTGTTTGTTTCCTCTCCACTTATCTTCTCCTCTATCCATCTTCTATCCGCCTCCCCCTCTCTCCCTATTTATTTCAGAATCCCCTTCCCCTCCCCCATTTCTGATGAAGGGTCTCGGCCCAAAACGTCAGCCTTCCTGCTCCTATGATGCTGCTTGGCCTGCTGTGTTCATCCAGCTCTACACCTTGCTATCTCAGATTCTCCAGCATCGGCAGTTCCTACTATCTCTGATTGTCAAATTTCAGGCCTTTTTTTACAGCCTTTCCATAGTCAAAATGGCTGGCAACATGGGAGAAAGTAAATAAAAATAATTGCATGCTTCAGCAGATAAGCATTTCTAGTCATTGCCAACTCCTCTACTGCCCTTTAATGCCTCTTTGTATGTAAGCCATCTGGGTTGGTGACAGTTATTTCCTCTGTATACCATCTCTCTTCTCTCCCCCTACCTCCAGGCACTATTAAGATATTCTTTCAAAAGCTTGTATTTTAAACTTAATTTAAGTATTATTGAGTTCATTTGGCTATTAATCTGTTGGTTGTATTTGAAATATACAACCCATTGATGATGTTACATGAAGAACGGTGAAGGATGCATCGATATTGACGTGGACCAGTTGGGCTAAATGGCTGGTTTCGGTATAGTACATTTTACATTTACTTATGATTTTATCTGTATACAAATGGCAAGTCTAATTTGAGCAGACAGACACAGGGTTTGCTTTGTATATGAATGTGCCCTTTCCTGGGCTCCTCACCTCCCCTCAGAACCCCTGCAGGACATTATCAAATCTGCAGACTCAATTACTGTCAGCTTAAAATGGGCATCAGAAATGTTCAAAGGAAACATCTGCCTTGAATTGTGTTAAAGTCAGAAGAGGCAATTAACACCACAGGGAGGAGCAGCATGTGAGGGGGAAGAATCACTTGCTGGGCGTGTAGCACTGCTGGAGTCTGCCATTAGTTTTGAGTCTTTTTAAATAACCTTTTATCAGTGCATCAAGAACTGGTGTCCAAAAGGTTTCAGATAGTGTGGGTTTAGATTAGTTCTGATGGATCCTGCTTTTTTGGATGGAGGTTTCTCACTACCATCAGCTTGAGGACCCTTAATTCCCTCTTGCTCTGTACAAAATAACTCGCAGATTAATTCTACTTCCAGTTCTTTAATGCAGTAATAAATAATAATTTCTGTTACTAGTAAATAGAATCACATAGAATGTGTTGTGGCATTACAACTGTGACTAGTAGGATAGATTCAGAACAGATCTGGCAACTCAAAATTAGACATCAGTGAGGCATTATACATTATCTGAAGCAACAGAACTGTATTCAACCACAATTTGCAGCCTCAAATTTGGCCTCAAATTCCTCAATCTACCATTAAACTAGGGATCAGCGTTTCTATAATGTAGAG